GTGTGTGTGTGTGTGTGTGTGTGTTGTGTGTGTGTGTGTGTTTTGTGTTAGTTTTTTCCTTTTCTTATCTGTATTTCTTTTTTTCTTTTTGTACTTTTTGTATTGTTTTGTATTTTTGTGTTTATCTTTTGTATTTTGCATTTGATTTGTTACTTATCTTTTTCTTATCTTTATTTCTTGTTTCTATTTTCATTTTTTTATTTTTGCTTTTTTGTATTTGTTATGTTTTGTTTTTTTGCTTATCTTTTATTGCTTTTTGTTGACTTTTCTTATTGTATTTTTTTATTTTTATTTTTGCTTTATTGCTTCTTTTTATCTATTTCTTTTATTTTTGGTATTTTTTCTTTCTTTTGTATTACGTGTTTGTTTTGTTGTTTCTTTTCTTTTTCTTATTGTTTATTTATTTTTTTCTTTTTGTGTTTTTGATTGCTACTTTTCTTTTTCTTGTTTTGTTGTTTGTCTGTTTGTTTTTATTATGTTTGTATACTTTATTATGTTTTAATACAGAATCAGTGTGTTTTGTTTTTGTGTTGTTTTATTATTCAAATAGCCCTTCAAATGAAGAATCGGTTCCTAATGACGTTATCTGTCAAGCAGACTTCATAAACCGCTGACACAACACAGCATAAATTCGATGAATGAACTTCCTGTTTCCAGTTGTTGTTTACCATAGATCAATGATGCTTTACATAATGTCATAACCCTGTTTGACTCTTTCTTCCAGTAAGGTCGTTTCCGGCTGTCTAACAGATACAGCTTCAATCAGAGCCAAACATTCACACCTCACAAAGCAAATTAGATTTCCCTTTAATGACTGTGCCTTTGCATTTAATGACTGTTTTTGTTGTGGCTGGACATTAGTGAGGCATGAGCTGCCCTTTGATTACCCAGAGTTCACCCTGATTCATCTCATTGTGGTTTAGTGCTGTTGAACGTGTCAGTAAATTCACCCTGCTACTTAGAGTTAGGACTCCATTAATTGGGCTAACGAGACATCTGTGTTGCTGCAGGATGCAAGTTTTCCCTTGATACTGACTGGTAAACGCAGGGACCGTATAGCACCTGTGGGATTACAAATTTAAGAATCTGTTTAAAATATGCTGATCCTATGTTCTGACATAGCATCACATGAAAAACTAAGGTGAAGTACATTGTATTTAGCATTTAAGGTAAAATGGGCCTCTGCCTGGGCCTCTGCCCCAGTCTTTGAGTAGTTATACTGGTTGAATTAGGACCAACACACCCATGATACATTTATGTTATTTAGAGTCCATATGGTGGAGAGCAAACTAATGAGCTGTTGTTTCTCTCTCTTTCAGCTTTCTTAAACAACTTTTCACTGCATCATATTTTTTTTTTTAACCACAGATTTTTTGCAGGAATAGGGCCTAATTGGCTTAAAAAAGCGGACATTTGTAAAACAAATCAATCAGATACATTAATAGTTAATTTGCGACATGAACAAATAAATTAATGAAATCTCTATGAACACATTCACATTCTGTCTGAATTGGCAGACCATGATGATCAGATATTATTACATTTTGGCTGGTTATTTATTTATTTGTTATTTTTCTTTATTTTATTATTATTTTTGTCTTGTTGTATCTTTTGTTGCTTTGTTTTTATTTTTTGTGCTTTTTATATGTTATATTTTGGTTTTGTTTTTATTTTGTTTATGGTTATTTAACGCTTTTTCTTTTATATATGTATATTTATTTTATTTTATCTTATTTTGTTTAATTTTGTTTTCTGTTTTGTTTTCTTCATTTTATGTCTTGTTTTTCTTTTTCTTTAAGTTTATTTTTTGTTTTATGGATTTCTTTTATTTTGTGTCTTGTTTTTTGTTTTCTTTTATTTTGTTCATTTGTTTTTGTTTATTTTCTTTTGTTATTTTTTTTATGTTGTCATTTCAAGTCTGTTTTTTTATTTGCTTTCTTTTCAAGCCTTTTTTCAAAGAGTGAAGAAAAAGCTGCCATTGCACTTGTTGTAAACAGTTTTGCATGAGAACTTGTTTGTAAATACCATATTTCATTCAGCGTCACTTGGAATCGATGTGGACAGACATCATGAAAAAATAACTTGAATTTCCTATCATTTCAGGGTCAGTGCAGGTCTTTAATGGTATAGAGCGCGTATCTGAGCACTCTCCTCATAACTCCAGTCTTGTGACTGTACGGTTTGCAGCACTGCCAGTGAACCTGAAGTGTGCAGGTCTCTAGTGAAAGCTTGCAGGGCTCTAGGGCCTTCGGCTGCGCTCTAACTCCGCATTCACACTTCTCGGCTAAGATTAGTTCCACTCTGCCGGGCCTGTAACAGCTCCTCTAAGAGACGGGTCGCCCTGAGCTGCCAGTCTGCCAGGGTTTCTGGAACAAGAGGCTTCCGTTTTTGTAGAATTTATCACCCTGTAGGCAAGCGGGGGCTTGTTCTGCACGTTTATAGAGAGTTAAGGACTGTAAGGAAGTGTGTGTTTAGTGAGGTTTGTGTGGGTGGATGGGAAAGTGTCTCTGTCTGTCCCTCAAAGAATGTGTGTGTGTGCTGGCAGACAGACAGCATGACATGTAGAAGAATGTGTGTGTGTGTGTGTTGGGGGTCCGTGAGGATCGTATTGCAGTGGCTGTCACTGGTATGTGAGAGGAAACTGCTGAGCGGTCCTGTACTCAACTGAAGCGAGGTTAAAATGCACTAAACACAGCCTCATGCTACCGTGGGTCACACAAGTCAAGTCAAGTCAAGTCACCTTTATTTATATAGCGCTTTTAACAATACAGATTGTGTCAAAGCAACTGAACAGCATTAATTAGGAAAATAGTGTCAATAATGCAAAATGACAATAGTAAACACAAATTTTTCAGTTAAAGACAGTTCATCATTGAATTCAGTGATGTCAACATCCAGCTCAGTTTAAATAGTATCTTTGCAATCAAGTCAACGGTATCGCTGGAAATGAAGTGTCCCCAACTAAGCAAGCCAGAGGCGACAGCGGCAAGGAACCAAAACTCCATCGGTGACAGAATGGAGAAAAAACCTTGGGAGAAACCAGGCTCAGTCGGGGGGCCTTGTACCATGGCGCAGTACGTTTTTCTCTAAACTTTTTCAACACAAACTGCGGCCACTTGGTTTCTCTGGCCTTTTTCTTTTGATCAGATCTGTCTGTGTAAAATGACAGCATTATTTAGGTGCTGTATGTAATTTTTTGACTGTACAAAGTATAAAAATCCCATAATATGTTTGTAGATATTTAGGAAACATGTTAAGTTCTTATACTTGTTTCTCCGAAAAACAACGCTACAGCCAGTTACTCTGCTTCAAAATGTGCGTTCCGTGTTGGAATGTCTGTTTTTGTTTTGTTCTGTGTGATTCCGCCCATTGCCAGTTTACCCAATAGTATTTCGACACCCCAGGTTGCCAGTTGGTGGAAAACACAGCGTAATGCAGCCATGGAAGCCAGCAAATGAACTGGGTCAGAGATTGCAGATTCTACCCCACCTAAAAGCCTTGGCATCCATCTGAAACGCTCTATGACTGGAGGAATATTAAAACGTGGATAAATCAGCCTACAGTGTAAGGCTTGTTGCTTTCTGTCGTCAATTGCAGCCTTTCCTGTTGCATGTCCTCAATCTGGCAACCCACATGAGTGTCGAGTCTGAGGAGGAGGGGACGGGAGAAATAACCTCCAATATCTCCATTATTTTGAATTTGGACTGCAGTTCCAATTTCAAACACTAGTTGTCAATATTACATACTGCACCTTTAATTTTTTTGATTGCTTGTAGTAATCTCTGACTTTTTATTAATAGGGCATGCTTAGGCAGAACCTCTAACAGCAAGGATAAATTTGTACATTTTTGCATCCTATTTTTAATATACATTCCTGATGTTATTGAGAATGACTTATCAGTGCATGTCATTGATTACGAAATAGTATTCGTAATCTTTAATCAAAGGGTAATCACTTATCTGAAACATCTTTGATGCAAAATGCATCCTTTTCAGCTATGCTCAAGTGGCATTTGGACAATGTTAACCAATAACCAAACAGTTATTTATTTCTTTAGTAAAATTGCATCAGTAGAATTAGAAATGCATGATTAGAATGGCTTCATTCCATTCTGGCTCAATTTTCAATGTCCAATAAACGATTTGTGAGGAATAAAATCAAGGCCCATCCATTTTTTTTCTCATTGTTTCTCATTTCTTCTAAAACCTCATTTTAAAACTGTAAAGAACACCACTCACATTTCTTCAGAAAATGTAAATCTAGTAAATCTGAATTTTAATATTGTGTTGTTTTCATATGCAGTAATGAGACTATGGTTTAATACTGAATATCTCTCTAGATAAAGATATTTCAGTGCACCAATATCACAGTTTATTTGTGTTACTTAAGGAATAACAGAATATTGCCTGCATACATAGTTGGTTAATAATTCATGAAGTTCATGCATAAATCATGAAAACGGGCCAGTCTTTAGCGGCAGTGCTGGAAAAAGAGGGGGGTCAAATATTCGTTTGAAGTTTTTTAATGGTACAAATTGCATCAAAGTTATTTTTCTGAAAAATATATATATTTTCATATAGAAAAAAAAACTTGTCAAAAGTCCAACGATTTATGAATGTAATAGGTTGTTACGGGTAGTGTGGCACAGTGGTTAAAAATCTAGACTTCAAATACTGTAAAACATGATTAATAAACCATCCAAATGTATTTATTGTTTATTCATCTATTATTGTTTTATTTTAGATAGATTATTTATTTATTTATTTAAATACAATATAATAAGTAAATAAATACATGCATTTATATTCATTTTATTCATATTTATTTTTATTATATATTTTTATATAAATATTAAATATGTTTATATTTACATTTTATTTATTTTTCTATATTTTTAAATTATATACTATTTTTTATTTTTAATAAGCTACTTGAATTTGACTCTAGCAAGGTGTTTTGCGTAAAAGCATCAGCTAACTGGCTGTCTGTCTCTTTGCAGGTCTAGGCCATGGGTGGAACCAAGAGTAAACCCAAAGAGCTCGGCCAGCGCTCCCGGAGTCTAGACGACGGCACTGGAGGTCACCATCACAGTCCCAAGCAGTCGTCCTTCACACCCAACCGGAGTCCACCAGTGGACGGTACCAGACGCGGCACCCAGCCCAACATCATCAACGCGCAGCAGGCGCTGTTTGGAGGAGTGAACTCGAACAACAGCATCACGTCTCCTCACAGGGTCGGCACGCTTTCCGGTAATGCAGCGATTATGTCTGATCAGTGTCCTTACACTTATGCTTTTGCTGACTTTCCGTATTATAGTGTTTATGGATTTGGGCCAAGACGTCTGAGGGGTGATTTAACTGAACAGTTGCACCATTTTCTAAATCTAAATTAGGCTCATTAAAGATTTGTGTATATATATAATAATAGTAGGTGCAATCAATTTTTAATTAATTTATTGTTTAAATCTCATGAATGAGAATCACAGGAAGTGAATCAGACCTGTCAGACCTTTAATGGACCATCTGATGCATGCTGCACACAAAAATAGAGTGGGATTTTCCGAACTCCTAAGCTCTGATCTGATTGGCCGGCGTTCCAAGATCTCTGAGAGTGATCTTTCATCATTTTTCATTTTGTTCAGTATTATTCTAAATGATTTAGTATTGTCTATACAACCATTCTTGGAAACTGCTGCACCATTATTTAAATACATGTTCAAATAATAATAGGCTTTTATTAATAATAATATGTTTTATAATAAGTAATTATAAATAAATAAGTAAATAAATAAATAAATAAGTAAATAATACTGTACATTTATTAGTAATAATATTATTATAGTATTATAATTCAAATATATTTTTTATTTGTTCGTTTTTTTTTTATTTTAGTTAATGTTTTAGTAGTTTTGTGTTTTTGTCATTTTTATTAGTTTTTGTTAAATATGTCTGTATAGTATTTATAGTCCTTAATTTTTATCTCTGTTTTATTTATTTTAGTACATTAAGTTCAGCTGAATGAAAATAAGACATTTTGCTTTTGCAACTAACTGAAATAAATATTTTAATTATATATTAATTATATAACTCAGTTAATAAAATATATTTTTTATATTATTGATTTATATATAAATTTTATTTCAGTTAATAAAATGTTTTTTTATATTATTTATTTTTATATACATTTTATTTTATTTCAATTAATAAAATACTTTTTTAATACTATTTATTTTTATGTTGATTTTATTTTTTCAAGTAATAAAAGGTTGTTTGTTCAATGGTTTTATTTTTAGTTAACTATAATAACCCTGATTTCAGCATTACTTTAATAGGCCAGCATGCAAAAAAAAATAATTCAGATTTACCAGCTTAGATGACACTTCGACGCTTCATAGAGTTCTTATGCTGGTAGTCAAAAGTCTGACTGTACAAGTCTAGACTATTTTTAGATGCCCATTTTCATTGGCAACCCAACATTGCATTATATTACTTAGGTTAATGAAATTTCCCTGCTGAAGTTTTTGAATTGCATGCATCAAGATAATGGTCTGTTTGTCTCTTGTATTTTTCCATAGGCGGTGTGACCACGTTTGTGGCTTTGTATGACTACGAGTCACGAACCGCCTCCGATTTGTCATTCAGGAAAGGAGAACGACTCCAGATTGTCAATAACACGTAAGGGGGAAACACACAAACACACACGCAAAAATAACAGGGCTCCGGAGGGCAATAGACACACCCATTGACGCAGACATTCACACACACTCATGTCTCTCATCTGTCTGACTGCTGTAGCCCCCCTTCCTCTTCGGTAACCATAGGAACTGGCTCCCTCTGAAGGCGCTGTATTTGTGGGATGACGGCTTTTTGTTCTCTGGATTCCTTTTTTGGTCTTCCTGTGCACACAAAAAAAGCTCAGTTGCACGTCTTTACCTCCACTTCCCCTCCCGGACCAAAGGGAGCATTTTCCTTCCTTTCTACACCTGCGCTTCACTTCCTTATTCCAGTGTACAGCGCTACCGTTAAGAGAATAAAAACAATCTCAGTAACATCCTCTGGTTTCGGCACAAAGCGGGACCTGGGGAATTGCTATTTTTTTTTATGTCAGGCCCAATGCTGTGTGATATATGGGTGAATCTCTCGAAACAGAACATGGCCGGTTCATATTTCAACCCAAAATCGAGAGAAGGAAATGAGAAATAATATTTATATATATATTTAAATATATATATATATACAGTGGTGTGAAAAAGTGTTGGCCCCCTTCCTGATTTCTTATTTTTTTGCATGTTTGTCACACTTTAATGTTTCAGATCATCAAACTAATTTAAATATTAGTCAGAGATAACACAAGTAAACACAACATGCAGTTTTTAAATGAAGGTTTTTATTATTAAGGGAAAACAAAATCCAAAACTACATGGCCCTGTGTAGTTAGAACCATTTATGGGGATTTTGAACATTTTGGGTTAAAAAACCCGGATGTTTTCATGAGATTCACCCTTTAAAGGAACACTCCACTATTTTTGAAAATAGGCTCATTTTCCAACTCGCCCTAGAGTTAAACAGTTGAGTTTTACCGTTTTCGAATCCATTCAGCCGATCTCCGGGTCTGGCGGTAGCACTTTTAGCTGTAGCTTAGCATAGATCATTGAATCTGATTAGACCGTTAGCATCTCACTCAAAAATAACGAAAGAGTTTCTATATTTTTCTATATCATCGTGTACTAAGACCGACGGAAAATGAAAAGTTGTGATTTTCTAGGCCGATATGGCTAAAAAAAAAAACCTCATTCCGGCGTAATAATCAAGGAACGTTGCTGCTGCACCCATGGTACGGCAGCAAAGTTCCTTGATTATTACGCC